GGAGATGGAATGGGATGCTAGGCTGAAAGAGCTGGGCTGGGTCAGCCCGGAGAAGAGAAGGCTCCTGAAGGGGAGACCTTAGAGCAGCTCCAGTGCCTGAAGGGGCTGCAGGAAACCTGGAGAGGGGCTTGGGACAAGGGATGTAGGGACAGGCCAAGGGGAATGGCTTTAACCTGCCAGAGGGGAGACTGAGCTGAGCTCTTAGGCAGAAGCTCTTCCCTGGGGCAGGGGGTTGGAACCCAAGCCAGTCTGTGATGCTATGAGAAGGAAATAGCTCTTCGGCAGCGTGTTCTTTACACATCCTTTAAGCACGATCTGCTTTAAAGATTGTCATGTGCGGGTCGAGGGCAGGAGCCCTTCAGGTGGGTGATGTTCTCTGTCTCTCTCTCCCTGCCAGGTGTCCGCCACGACCCCAACATGAAGTACGAGCTGCAGCTCGCCAACCCCAAGGAGTTCTACCACGAGGTCCATCGCCCTTCCCACTTCCTCAACTTCGCTCTGCTGCAGGAAGGGGAGGTCTACTCCGCCGACAGGGAGGACCTCTACGCCTAGTGCTGCCCTCGCCCCGGCTCCTCGTACTGTTGATATTCAACAGCGTGTGTGTTCTGCGTCCCCGTGCCCGCGCAGCCCCTGCCCCTTTCCCCCCTCCTCCTCCTCCTCCTCGTACCCATTCCGTGTCTCAATAAATTTTGTACGAACGGGATCGCTACCGGTGAACCCCGCCTCGGACGGGGCGGGACAAGGGAGGAAGGAGGAGCGAGTGCGGGGCCCAGGCCGGCCATGGCGGAGGCGCTGTGGAGGACCCCGCCGGGCCGCCTGGCCCCGCCGCACGTTTACCGCATGGCCGGGGCGCTGGGGGCCGAGCTGCGCCGTCTCTCCGCCCGCTTCGGACCCGAGGCCGTGGCCGGGCTGGTGCCGCCCGTCGTGAGGCTGCTGGAGCTGCTGGAGGCGTTGGTGGCCCCCGACGGGGAGGCGGTGGGGCCGGCGGGCGGGCGGCAGGAAGCGGAGGTGAGCGGCGGGTACGGGCTCGGTCCCTTCGGGGGTCCCCTCTGCCGTGGGGCAGGAGGCGCCGTGGGGACTTGGCTGTTCTCGTCCCTATGGAATGGCTCTGACCCGGCTGTCCCCGTCCCTATGCAGTGGCTCTGAGCCGGTTGTGCCTGCCCCCTGGGATGGCTCTGACCCAGCTGTCCCTTGTACCCATGGGGGTGGCTCTGACCTGGCTGTCCCTTGGGACAGTTCTTACCTGGCTGTCCTTGTCCCCAGTGGGATGGCTCTGGCCTGGCTGTCCCCATCCCCTATGGGATGGCTCTTACTGCCTGTCCCTATCCCCTATGGGATGGCTCTGACCTGGCTGTCCCTATCCCCTATGGGATGGCTCTCACTGCCTGCCCCCATCCCCAGGACCCGGAGCAGCGGCTGTGGGAGGCCGAGCGCCGGGAGCGTTCCCTGCGTGCGCGCCTGTCCCGCCTGGAGGAGCAGAACCGGCAGCTCGTGGGGCAGCTTGCGGAGAGCCAGTCCCAGGAAGGTGGGTGTCCGGGGTGGGGGTGCGCTGCGGAGGCCGTGGGTACCGGGGCTGCTGAGCCCCGTCCCTGTGTGTCCGTGCCCAGATAACGCGGCACGGAAGGAGCGGGAGGTGATGCTGCGGCTCAAGGAGGTGGTGGACAAGCAGCGGGATGAGCTCCGTGCCCAGGCCCATGAGATCGTCTGCAAGAGCCGAGACACGGAGGCGGTGAGCGGATGGGGTGTGAAGGGTCTGGGCCCCCCCTGCCCCTTTTTGTGTCACCTCTCCATCGGTGCTGGGGTCCCTTGTTGGGGACCCGGAGCTGCTGCCGTCGCCTCACCTCTGTGCTCCCCGGGCCCTCCAGCTGCAGGAGCAACTGCACCGCTTCATGGCCATGAACGAGGAGCTGCGGCACAAGGTGGCCGTGGTGCAGGCGCAGCTCAGGAGCGCGCTGGAGAAGAAGTCGGACCTGGAGGCTGCGGTGCTGCAGAGCCAGAGGGAAGCGAGCAGGAGGAGCAGGAGCGCCTCCGAGATCCAGCAGCCGAAGCCCAGCCTGGTGAGGGCAAGCCTGAGCTGACAGCAGGAAAAGCCAAGCCAAACCTCAAGTCTTAGAGGATGAGGAGGGTTTGCCGTGTGTGGCGGTGGGCAGTGGGCTCCGGCACCTTCATTCCCTAGGCATTCCCATCTCTGCCAGCCATAGGGGGGCACTTTGGGGTCCTTGCCTCCTGCTGACCCGTTTCCCATCCCTCCAGGAGGAAGCTCCATCCGCCACAGAGGAGCCGCAGCACGAGGATGCGGGCAGGAGCCCTGCTCACTGCTGCTTCTCCAAGGAGGAGCTGCAGCAGATCCTGCAGGAGCGGAACGAGCTCAAGACCAATCTGTTCTTGGTGCAGGAGGAGCTGGCTTATTACCAGCGGTGAGTCCGGTTCCCCCTGGTCCCTGCAGCCCGTGGCCCATCAGAGCCTGCTCCCGGTGCACTCAGGGTGCCGAGCTCTCCCTTCACTTGGCTGCCTCTTTCCAGGGAGCTGCTGAACGAGGAGAGGGTTCCCAGCTTCTTCTTGGATGCGATGAAGTCAACCATCAAAAGGCAGAGGAAGAAAATCAGAGCCAAAATGCTGGGAACAACGGAGGAGGCGGAGAGCAGGTGAGTCCAGTCCTGCTCCATCCACCCTGCAAGGGAATTCCCCAGGCACGGAGCTGCCTCCTCCCTGCTTCCACCTGGAACATCAAAGGTTTAACGTCTGCAGCTGATGCCTTGCTCTGGCTTCACCCTGGGAGCGTGGCAGGGGCTGGGCTCCTTGCTGCACCTCTTGTCCCCAGTCACACGTGGTCCATCCAAATGCCTCCCGTCCATGGATATGGCAAAAGGGAGGTGAGGTGGTGGCCATGGGACTGCTGCTCCTGGCACTGATTTGGAGGCTGTTCCATGAGAGCCATTGAGGATGGCAGCAGAGATGTTGCCTCGAGGCTCTGCAGGATGCTATGGGCACCGCTGGCCCCACCAGACTTGTCACGATGGGGAGGGCAGCACCTTGCTGGGCACCAGCCCCAGCTCTGCCTGTGTGCTGGCAATGGGGGGGGTGTGAAGCCTGTGCTAAAGCTGCTGTATGGCACGGGGGGAGCTGGGTCTCACTGCCTTTTGGGGGCTTTAATAAAGGTCTGGAGGGGGCTGAGCTCTTCTGTGCTGCTGAAGCCTGCTGCTTGCTTGTGTCGGGGTCTCTGCTGGCCGCAGGGGTGTTGGGCCTGGTGAAGGTGGCTGCTGCCCTATGGATGCTGCATCTCATGATCCCTGCTTCCCTGCAAGGCCAGGATGTCACCCACCTCAGTCCCATAGTGCTGATGGTTGGGCTCTTCCCCCAGAGAAGCATTTGCCACGTGGGGTTTGGTGCTCAGAGGCTTTAGAGCAGGATGTGGCAACCAGGGACACATCACTGAGCCAGCACTGGGGGTTGAAGCTGGTGTCTGAAGAGCCTTGAGATCACGCAGGCAGGGCTGGGCTTGCCATGGAACACCTATGTGGGACGTGAGCAGCACCGTGGCTCTGCAGCAGGTCCCAGCTCTGCTCCACGTGTCCCTGCCTCTGCTTGGCTTGGGGGTGCCTCCTCCTGTGCCGAGCCTGTAACTCCCTTTGTGCTGCAGCGATGAAGATGAGGGCTCCTGGCTCCCAGCCCGCGGCGCAGACTCTGTGGATGCTCATCCTCATCCTCCCGAATCCAGAATTAGGAGCTTGTAAGTTTGCTGGGAAAGCCGATGGGGAGGTTGGGATCCGATCGCATTCCCTGGGAAGACGTCTCCCCCCACGGCTGTTATCTGCTCTCCCTGCAGCTTCGGGCTCTGGTATCAGGACAGCAGCAAAGATCCCCCCCCGTCCAGCAGCCCCGTAGCCTGGGAAGTCATCGACTCCCTGGACACGCAGCTGGAGCCGGAGAGCGATCCCACAGCCAGCTCCCCCGACAGAGCCACAGCACCCCCCTGATCCCATGGGACCGGCCTCACTGCAGCACTTCCTGGTGGCACAGCAGCACTGCCTGCTTCCCCACGGCATGGGGATGGGGATACTGGGACACTTGGCCGTGGGTTTCCAGCCTGGATCAGCACCTCCGGGCATCGCTGCCCATCGGCCACCCTTCCACTGTGCTCATGGCTTAACCTCTGGGGGTCTCCACTTCTCTGTGCCTGCAGCTCAGCACCACCGGGGTCTGCACCCGCTTCCCATCCACTCCTGCCTCTTTCCATCAAACACCTCTCCCAGATCCTGCCTCGTTTGGATGGGGTTCATCCCTGCAATGTGAAGGTGGAGTTGGGGTATCCGGCATCACCACACTGCACCGGGTGCACGGATGCTCCCGGAGCTGGGAACGGCCGGGATCAGCACCATCAGTGCCACTCTGTACCATTTTATACCAGGACCTCTTCCTGCTGTTGTTGGGAACTGGAAGACAGGAGCAATCCTCATGTTCACAGGGAAGCATCCGTCCCCTCAGGTGCTTTCACTTTAGAACTGGAGTTGGAAATAAATCAGTCCCGTTTCTCCTCCGAGGTACCCCTGCTTGGGATGATGCTGCTGGGATTCTACCCCTGTTCTCCATCACTTCCCATGCACAGGCTGACCCTTTCAGTGGGTCGGCTCCAATGGGAATGCGGCTCCATGGGCGCAGTGCTGGCTATGGAGGAGTTAAGTGTGAGGAGCAGCTTCCAGCCCGGGTTATCCCCCCTGGCTGAGCTGGCCTTGGGTAGGAAAAAGGTGTTTCCTGTGCATCTGCTGACACAAAGCTCCTGGGGACAGGGAGAGGTGGGACAGGGGCCAGCAGCGGTTCAAAAGGAACACCGTGTCCCCATGGGGGACGTGGGGACCCCACTTAGCTCCTACCAGGGGTCAGCAGTGCCATAGGGCAGCTCACAGTGGTGGGGGCAAGGGGATGCAGCAGGGACCTCATGTGGGTTGGGGGGGAGGAGGGTGGGCATTGGCTGAAGCAGCTTTGGGGGTGATGGAGGATGGCCCAAGGGGGAGCAGGACAACCACGGGGGCGATGTTCATGGAGCACCAAGCCCCCGGGCACCCGTTCCTGCTGCCGGGGTGGCACCAAGGGGCAGGAATAGCCCCTGCGGCGGCATTCCCGGCCTCCCGTCCCCTGACGTCGGGATCGCGGCGCCTCCTCCCGCGTTTCCTCAGGAAGAAACCCAAGGCTGGCGGGAGGAAGAGGCCGCAGCACGGGAGGGACGGACGGGACGGGACGGGACAGGCGGACGCCAGCACTGGGAGCTGCAGGGACTTGGGCCCTGGTGCCCTGGTGGGATGGGGAGCGCGCGGCACCTCCTCTGCCTCCATCTGTGGCTGTGGGTGCAGAGCTCCGCGCAGGAGCTCGATCCCGACGGCAGGAACGTCTGCAGGTGGGTGCCATGGGGGTCCCTGCTTGTGCTCCTCTGTCTCATGGGGCCTCTTGGCAGCTCCATGGGGTCGTTGTCCATGCTCCGTGGACAGAGACCTGCTGCTTGGCACCGCGTGGATGCATCGCGGTGATGCTGGGGAGCGCGGCTGTTGGTACCCGCGGATGTTCCTTAACCTCCTCCAGGGGTTATTTCTCGCGCAGGGCACCGGGATGGGGTTTGGGAGCATTGGCAAAACTTCCCCTCAAGTGCCAATGGGAAACATAGGCACAGCAAATCCCAAAGAGCTTTTGGAGCTGATTTCCCCTCCGCTTCGCTGCTGCTTCTCCCTTTGGTCTCGCCACCCATGGCAGCGCCTTCCATCTCCATCACTTTAATGCCTTCCTTCTGTGTTGCTGGTGAAGCTTTGAGCTGCTCCCAGAGCATCAGGGACCCGATACGGGCTCCACAGTGGCAGATCCATGCTGCCTGCCCCATTGCCTGCCCCATTGCCTGCCCCACCGCCCACCCGGGCTGCAGCCTCTTGAATTTCCTTCTATTTTACTGGTTTCCTTCCGGAGCAAAGCCCCTGGGGCTGTGCTGCCTCTGCCTGCCAGACCCAGCCAGGGTGTTCGCTGTGCCTTAAGCGATGCTCTGAACCCACCCTGGTACCCTCATCCCTGCGGATGCTCCACTGTGGCTCTCTCCTCAGGCTCCCCACCGGCCCCGCGTGCTGTCCCGGCTGGAAGCAGGAAGGGCAGGAATGCACGGCCGGTGAGTGATGGAGCCCCACAGCTCTCTTTGAGTGGGGTGTTGTGCTGTGGGGACCCCAAATGCCCGCTGAGTGAGCTTGCTGATGGTGTGGCTTGGATGGAGCGGGAAGCGGGATGATGGATTCCCCATGATGCCCCAGTGCGATGCGGTCCAGCAGTGGGGTGCAAGCACAGGGGACCCCATCCTGCCCTGATGTGATGCTTGCCCTGTCACCAACAGCGCTGTGCGAGGGCGAAGATGCCTGCGGGGCGGATGAGGTGTGTGTGAGACCTGGGCTTTGCCTCTGCAAACCCGGCTTCTTCGGAGCAGACTGCAGCTCCCGTGAGTACATCCCATGGGCTCCCCCATCCACTTCACCCTCCTTTGGGGGGGGGGGGGAGCTGCCAAGCTTCCCTATGGCCCCCATCATCCTCACCACCTCCTTCCCTCCGCAGCCTGCCCCGAGCAGTACTGGGGCCCCGACTGCAAGCGGAGCTGCCCGTGTCACCCCAACGGGCGCTGCGATGCGGCGAGCGGGCGCTGTACCTGCCACCCCAACCACTGGGGTGCCCTGTGCCAGTTCTCCTGCCAATGCGGTCCCCATGGGCACTGCGACCCTCTCACCGGCGCCTGCCGCTGCGAGCCGGGCTGGTGGGCACCCACCTGCAAGAAGCAATGCCAATGCAACCCCTCCAGCTCCCAGTGCGACCCCGTGAGCGGGCACTGCCGCTGCCTGCCCGGCTGGTGGGGCAGGAGGTGCAGCTTCAAGTGCTCCTGCAACCTCTCGCCCTGCGCCCAGGAGACGGGCAAGTGCGAATGCAAGGTTGGGTTCTGGGGGCCCGCCTGCCAGCGGCGCTGCGACTGCATCCACGGCTCCTGCAGCCCCGTCAGCGGGCACTGCAGCTGCAGCCCCGGCTACCAAGGCAGGAGCTGCAGGGAGCCGTGTCCGCCCGGGCAGTACGGGTCTCAGTGCATGCACAGGTGAGATGGGGGCAATGGGAGGGTGTGGGAGGAACCAGGGGGTGCAATAAGACCTTGGAGGGGGGGGGGGGGAATCATCATGGTTGTGTCTGTCTCTTTGGCTGGGGACCATCCTAGGGAGGTTTGAGCATCCCTGGTTGGATGCAGCATCCCTGCTGTCCCAAGAGAAACACAGAGTCGTGGAATGGTTTGGGCTGGAAGGGACCTTAAAGCTCCTCCAGCTCCAACCCCTGCCACAGGCAGGGACACCTTCCACTAGAGCAGCTTGCTCCAAGCCCCTGTGTCCAACCTGGCCTTGAACACTGCCAGGGATGGGGCAGCCACAGCTTCTCTGGGCACCCTGTGCCAGCGCCTCAGCACCCTCACAGGGAAGAGCTTCTGCCTAAGAGCTCATCTCAGTCTCCTCTTGGGCAGGTTAAAGCCATTCCCCTTGGCCTGTCCCTACATCCCTTGTCCAAAGCCCCTCTCCAGGTTTCTTCCATCTTTAAGTACTGGAAGGCTGCTGATGGCAGCAGAAAGCACTGGTGTCACCCTAAAATCTGGTTGTCCTTGTTCCCATTCCTTGGCGTGATAAAGCAGCATCTCTGCTTCCCTCTTGCCACCACAGAGCATTAAGCCCCCATGGCCCCAACTGATGCTCGGTGCTGTTTCGGGGTGACACCTGCGTTTGTGGGGGTTCCGTGGTGCGTGTCCGTGCCTCAGTGCCCCTGTGCCCGTGCAGCTGCGGGCGCTGCGAGCTCGGCCGGCCCTGCTCTGCCGTGGACGGGCTCTGCCCCGCCTGCCAGCCCGGCTGGAACGGGACCCTCTGCCAGCACCGCTGCCCTCCGGGCTCGCACGGACACCGCTGCCTCCTGCGCTGCCCCCGCTGCCGGCAGGGGGATGCCTGCGACCCGGAGACCGGCGCCTGCCCGCGCTGCGAGCCCGGCTGGACCGGACCCAGGTACGGCCGGGACCGAGCCGCCCCAAAGCCTCGGGTCCTGCGCTGCGGGATGCAGGGGGCTGATGCTTCCCTCCTTGTGTTGGCAGCTGCAACATCTCCTGCCCCGCGGGTACCTTCGGCGATGGATGCCGGCTCCTGTGCCCCGAGTGCGTCAGGGGGAGCTGCGATCCGGTGTCCGGAGCTTGTATCTGCCAGGCTGGCTACTGGGGAGCCAGGTACTGCCGGGAGCAAGGCACGGATGGGGCCCCCGTTCTCCCCAGGGGTGTTTTCCTCCTTTCCTTTCTCTTCCAGCTGCAATGACACCTGCATGGAGGGGTATTACGGAGTGAACTGCTCCTCATCCTGCCAGTGTTCCCGGGGGACCTGCGACCCTGTGCGAGGCGACTGTGTGCTGAGTAAGGGCAACCTCAGATTTACCCCTTGGTGCTGTGCGTGGCGCTGGGACCCCACCTTGTGCCTCACGGCCCCACCATGAGCGGTGGGGTGGCTCTTTGGGGTTGGCAGCTTCAGGACGTGCTGGACTCAACCCATCTGCTCCACACAGGTTTAAAGGACCACGGAGCTCTTGCAGCCGCCATCCTCGTCCCCCTCCTGCTGCTGCTGCTCTGCATCGCCTGCTGCTGCTGCGGAGCTGGTCCAGCAGACGCCAGGGACAGGTATTGCTTCCAGTTTGCCAGTCCTCGATGGAAAACCCCATGTCCTGCATCCCTTGATGTCCACATCCCCTGTGCAGGGCAGCCGTGGCGGATGACGGCGTGGTGGCCAGGATGAAGCACCACGTGCGGGGGGTGCTGGCGAACCTCAGCGCGATGATGCCCTGCTTCAACCTGGCTGGCTCTAAGCTCCCCAAAGTCACAGGTGAAAAGAAGCAGAGCTCTCCCCCCACACATCGTCACCATCTGGGGGTGTCTGAGCTCACTTTTAGGGTGTCTTCTCCTCCTCAGTTTCCCACCACGACACAGAGATCCCCTTCAACCCCAGCTTCATCGAGCCGCCATCGGCCGCATGGGTTTCAGACAGCTCCTTCTCCTCCTTTGACACCGACAACGAGGGACCCGAGTACTCTGTCCCTCCCAGAGAAGGTGACCTGCTCCTCCTCTACGGATCAATCCTGCTCCATCGCCACCCTTGGGTGCCCAAGGGATGGGTCCTGGGCATGGGCAGTGGTTGTTTTCATGCCCTTGTTTTCCTGCCTGTAAGGACACCCATGCTTGGCCTCATGTGGTGGGATGTGCCCGGTGTGGGGCAACCACAACCTCTTCCCAGGAAAACATCCCCAGGGACAACCCTGTTGCATCAGCCTCTCTCCTGCTCGTCCCAAGTGTGTCCCTGGGCTCCATCAGCCCTAACTCATCCCCTTCTCCCGCAGGTATCCCGCTGCTGGGGGGGGCTGAGCTGCAGGAGGGGGTATCCCCCATAGGCGAGGTGCTCCCGGATCCATCCGCCTTTGATTCCGAGGATGTCTCGCAGCCCTTCGCCATCCCTCGCACCTCCAGCATCGCCAAGGCCAAGCGCCCCTCCGTATCCTTTGCCGAGGGGACCAAATTTGGGATGATGGAGACCCCCAGCCCTGGGAGGAAGCCCAAGGCCCCATGGGGCCCACCCAAGCTGTCCCAACCCCCTGGGGACAAGGAACCTGAGCCCTGCACTGAGCGACCGGGCAGTGATTGCTACGAGAGCCCTGATCCCATCGGCAAGGGGGACGAAAGCCACCGGCCATCCCCAAGGGCCACCCCAGGAGGACGCCGGCGCGTGGTGTCCAGCACCAGGCACGTGGCACAGAGAGTGGAGGCCCTCGAAGCGGCTGCGAGGTCAGGAAGCTGGGAGGCGAAGGGGAAGGAGCCCAACGTCACCACCATCTACGTGACGGTGGGAACGGGCGGGCAGGACCCCAAGGCAGAGGGAGGTGGCGAGGGCCCGGTCCAGGCGGTGCTGAAGCGGTTGGGCAGCTTGCAGAGGGGCAAATGGGCTGCCAAGGAGGAGCCCAAGGTGAGGAAGAGCTTTGAGGTCATCCAGAAACCACCCCGCCGGGCCCTGGGGCAGCGCAGAGACTCGGTGAATAGCTGCAAGCAGAGGGAGAGCATCCCTGGGGCTGCCGCTGAGGCAAGCAGCAAGCATCAGCCTGGGAAGAGAAAGTCCTTCCTTCTGGCATCTCCCTCACTGAAGAGCATCGGGGACCAGGATGGAGGCTGCGATGCCGCGGCTGCCACGGAGAGGGGTAAAAGCCCTGAGTTAGTCCTCAGCCTCGAAGCAAAGGGATTGGCTGCATCAGAGGAAGAGCCCAAGTACGAGAACGTGATGAGCAGCGGCACTGATTCACCCCCCAGCATCACCGAGGGGCCAGCGGCCACCCCTGCGGCCACCTGAGCCACCACTGCCTGCGCTGGTGGCATCTCTGAGCCCAGTGTGGGAGCTGAGGGCCCCCTCCGAGCTTGAACTGGAGAAGCATTGAGCATTCCCATTGATCCCTTTCCTGTTGCTGGGGTGGACCCTTGAAGGGTGATGTGGTGCGATGATGGGTGATGTGCGATGGGTGATGTGATGCGATGATGGGTGATGTGTGATGGGTGATGTGATGCGATGATGGGTGATGTGTGATGGGTGATGTGATGCAATGATGGGTGATGTATGACGGGTGATATGATGTGATGATGGGTGATGTGTGATGGGTGATGGTGATGCCGAGAGCCACAGCAATGGCAGCCCCATGGGTTGGTGCTTCAGGGCTGTTTCCTGCTCCCCCCTGTCCTGTGTGCTTCACTTTGGACCTGCCACAACACAGCGATGCTCTGGATGCGGCAGTGGCACCTTCTAGTCTCTATCAGCATTGGGTTTGGGGGGCACACATCTTCCTCATGAATGACAGTGGGGCTGCTGGGGGTTGCACACAGGTAAAAACCAGTTTCACCCCACTGGCTTCCACCTTTCCCTCTCCCAGCTCCATAAAGCTGCCTGGAGCCTCTTGCTGTAAAGATGCTTCTCTTGCTGGGAGGGATTATGTTGTGGAGAGGGGCCGGGGGTAGGTGATGGGCTGTGACAAGCAGCTTCAGTGAGAGCTGATTATAGCTGCTTATCTGGAAGGGTGTCTGGGTCTGCAGGGGTTTATGTGGGTCTCTCTGGCTGCCTTTATTCCTACGTACATGCATAGCACATGACAAGGCTCGCAGCGTGGCACGGAGTTTATCAATGGCCTTTTAAACTCCATGCAATACCAGGCTCCAGTTTTGCAAGAGCAGCTGTGGCACCTGGGCCATGGCCATCGACCTGTCCTTGCACATAGCGCTGATAAAGACATGACATGACATGCATGGAAAATTACATCGCCACGGGTGCCGTCTCCTCACCATGGGTGCGTGAGGTGGGATGGAGGGGCTGTAGCATCTCCAGCATGGCCAGAGGAGCTCAGGCAGCACAGAGAGATGGGCACAAGGGGGGTCAAGATGCCAGAGAGGGTTTGCAGCATGAACTGGTTTTAGATGTATCTAAGTCCAGAAGTTTCTTGTCCGTTCTGTTACTCACATGGTGTGGAAGCCTCTAGGTGAAAATTAAACGTTACCAAAGCCCTTAAGGAGTTGGGTTTCCCATCCACCCCTAAGAAATACTGTCTAAAGTGTAGAAACCATCAATAGCCTGAAGCTTTCAGTTTGCTGGGTTTGATAATGTCCTGTTTCTATTGAATTCTGAAGTCTCACCTACGGAGCTGAACCCAGAGCAGTGCTGGAGACCGGAGCATCCAGAGCACCCACCCTGCAGCCTGTATCTCCCATCATGTGCAGAGCTCTGTGTGAGCCCTGCTCTGGCGCTGCTGAGTTGGGGTTTGGGGCGTTTCAGCATCAGTGGGGTTTGCTTTTTCCCCGTTGCTTCTCATGGATGCTTTTCATGGATGCGTCCCCGTGCTCTCGCGGGGATGAGCAGCAGGGTGCAGCACTCATTCCTGCAGTGCCATCACGCACTGCTGTCATTACAGCACCAAATATTGTGGTATAGGAATAAACCCGCTCATCCTGGACCCGCGCACCCTCCTCCCCACAGCCCCGCTCTGTTTTGACGCTATGATACGACAGGGGCAGGGACAGCCCCACATGTTATTTATAAGCAGCCGTTTTTCCTGCCCTGATCCATTGGCTATTTCCAGCCTGGGAGCAGAGTGATGCTGTGCCAGAAGGGAACGTCACACGAGCTGGTTCCCCCCGGGTACAGCATGTGAAGAGCTGACAACGGCCTTCCCTGACATGGAAACAAGCACCCGGCCTTGAGAAAACGCTGCCGTCACGTCCCAGGGGCTCAGTGCTAAGCAGGATGTGGCCCCTGCTTGAAGATGGGGAGAGGTGGATTTGCGGCGTGGGGCTGCCCATGCACACGCCGGCAGCGTGGCTGCGCTGGTGTCTTCTCCCTGGGGATGCTTCCTGATGTGGTTTGAATGCTGGGTGAGGGAAGGCTGCGAGTCAGGGCTGGTGGGTGAGGGAGGAGTTAACATCTTCCCGGGCTGGATCGATGGCTGAATCCCGCTGAAGCCAGCCCCTGGGAAGCTGTTCCTTCTATCCATAAGCAAAGAGGTGTCCGTGCCTTGCGGAGGTAGGAACAGCCTCAAGCCATCCCTAATGGCCACGGGGATCTGTCCCCATCACCGCAGCCTCATCATCTCCTTCCAAACTGCCTGAGCTCTGCTTTAGGAGAGGACCACATGGGAGCCTCCCTGGGTGGCCGGGCAGGAGCCGTCAGCTCCCATCCAGCCTAAACTGATTCCTGGCTGCTTTCTATAAATGTCTCTCTGTGTCAACGCTGTTCTTCAGCTCCACTTTGTTTTTCTTCTCTCCACGGTGTTTACTCAGGCCCCGGGTGTATTTATAGCTGGCAACAGATCATCTGATAGCTCCTTTGCTCCTTCTAGGAGAGGAAAACCAACCCCCCCCCCCCCCCCCCAATATGCTCCCGCTGTACCAAAGGGTTCCCGTGTCCCCAGACAGCCCCTGCGCCCTCCTCGTGCTCCTTCCCATCACCGTCCATGTTTCTTGGATGCAGAGCTGGGTGCTGAGCTCTCCCCGGGGGCTCCCTCCCCGTCTGCTCAACCCCATGCCCAGCTCCAGGCTCCTCGTTTCCTTTGGGCTTTGTTTTTGTTTGTTTCTTTGCTTTGGCTTAAATCCACTTCCCAGCCATTGCGAGGCTCTGACCCTCATCCCACAGCCAAGCCTGAGGAGTTTCCTCTTCCCAGCCGCCCCTGCCTGCCTCTTCCTCAGGGATGCAGCAGCGGGAGCGTGTCCGGTGTCCGTCTGGGAGGTGTTTACCTGCGCCAGGCCCCGTTTCCACCTCCTCTGGCTGAGAAAACATCCCTTCGCATGATTTCCAGGGATATTTGTCCACCTCCTCTGGCCCGGGGCCCGGCTGATGAGTGATGGGTTTACGGCAGGACTGGAAATCCCGCACAGGAATGCTCTGGGAGCTAATTTGGTGTAAGGAGAGGGCAGGGCTCTGAGCTCGGATGCAAAGAGCTCTCGCACTGCAGTGATCTGATTTATTTAATGGAATAGCTGGTGCTGGGGACCGGCAGGCTCCAGGCTCCTTACCCCCAGTCCCGGTCAGCCGGGTGCTGGGTCCCAAAACGGGCTTTTTAGGGTGCCTGTAACCGCTGCGGATGAGACAGCAGCGGGTGCTGCTGCTACCGGAATAGCTCCTTGCGCTCCGTACGAGCAGGAGCCGGTCGAGACCAGCAAGAGCCGGTACGAAAGCCCGCAGGGACCTCCCCGCGGAGCCGGGAGGCGGAGATGGGCGGGCGGTGGGGCTCCAGCCCATCCCGCTCCACCGACACCTCCCGTTTTGACCCGTTTCCCCCGCTTTTAAGCCAAGGGTCCGCTCCCCCCCCCCCCCCCCCGGGGGTGTCTGTCCCGGCGGTGCTCGGGTGTCGGAAACAACGGGTACAACGTTGGGGTGTGTGGATGTGTTAGGAGAGGCCGGGGGCAGCGAGGGAAGGGGATAGCGGGGGGGTTATAGGGCGGTAGCGGGTGACTATAGGGGGATACCGACGGGTACCGGGGGGTTATGGGGAGGATATGGAGGGTTCTAGGGGGGTATCAGAGGGTTCTATGGGGGGGTATGAAGGGCTATAGGGGGGTATCAGAGGGTTATATGGGGGGTATGAAGGGCTATAGGGGGGTACCGAAAGGTTATAGGGGGGATATGGGGGGTTATAGGGGGGTATCAGAGGGTTATATGGGGGGTATGAAGGGCTATAGGGGGTACCAAAAGGTTATAGGGGGGATATGGGGGGTTATAGGGGGGTATCAGAGGGTTATATGGGGGGGTATGAAGGGCTATAGGGGGGTACCGGAACGCTATAGGGGGGATATGGAGGGTTCTAGGGGGGTATCAGGGTTATAGGGGAGGTATGAAGGGCTAAAGGGGCGTACCAGAAGGCTATAGGGCGTATATGGAGGGTTATAGGGGGATATTGGAGGGTTATATGGGGGGTATGAAGGGGCTATAGGGGGGTACTGGAAGGTTATAGGGGGTATATGGAGGGTTATATGGGGGGGTATGAAGGGCTATAGGGGGGTACGGGGAGGCTATGGGGGGATATGGAGGGTTATATGGGGGGGTATATATGGGGGGTATGGGGGGGTGCATATGGGGCAGGCTATGGGGGGATATGGAGGGTTATATGGGGGGGTATGAAGGGCTATGGGGGGGGTACGGGCAGGCTATGGGGGGATATGGAGGGTTATATGGGGGGTATGAAGGGCTATAGGGGGGTACGGGCAGGCTATGGGGGGATATGGAGGGTTATATGGGGGGGTATGAAGGGGCTATAGGGGGTACTGGAAGGTTATATGGGGGATATGGAGGGTTATATGGGGGGGTATGAAGGGGCTATGGGGGGAAGGGTTGTATGGGGGGGTATATAGGGGTTATATGGGGGGGTATATGGGGGAATAGGGGGGTTATGGGGGCTATGGGGGGATATGGGGATCTATGGGGGGCTATGGGGTGAATGGGGGGCTATGGGGGGATATGGGGGTTATATGGGGGGGTATGGGGGGCTATAGGGGGTACTGGAAGGTTATAGGGGGGATATGGAGGGTTATATGGGGGGGTATGAAGGGGCTATAGGGGGGTACGGGCAGGCTATGGGGGGATATGGAGGGTTATATGGGGGGGTATGAAGGGGCTATAGGGGGGTACGGGCAGGCTATGGGGGGATATGGAGGGTTATATGGGGGGGTATGAAGGGGCTATAGGGGGGTACGGGCAGGCTATGGGGGGATATGGAGGGTTATATGGGGGGGTATGAAGGGGCTATAGGGGGTACTGGAAGGTTATAGGGGGGATATGGAGGGTTATATGGGGGGGTATGAAGGGGCTATAGGGGGTACTGGAAGGTTATAGGGGGGATATGGAGGGTTATATGGGGGGTATGAAGGGCTATAGGGGGGTACCGGGGTGCTATAGGGGGTACCGGGGGGCGCGCCACTGGCACGGGCAGCATCGGCGCGCTCACCCATTGGCTGGCCACGGACCAATCAGCGGCGGCGCCTGTTTGCTCCACAGGACGGATAAAAAGCCCGGGGTGGGACCGCGGCGGCGCGGAGCGGAGTCGGGGGGCGGCCGAGGGTGAGCGGCGGCGAGCGGGGAGCAGCGGGGCCCCTATGGGGCAGCCCCGTGGGGCTGCATGGGGGTGCGGGGGTTGATGGGGGGGGGAATGGGGTGTTCCGGGGTGCAGCGGGGGCGTGAGGGTGGGAATGGCGTGAATCGGAGGAGGAGCGGGTGGATGGGGACGGGGCGGGTGCATGGGAGCGATCGGTGGGGTGGGAGCGGGGTGAATTGGGGCTGGGGGCAGGATGCAGCAGGGCTCGTCTGGGAGAGTGGGGGGGGGGGGTATGGGGTGACTGGGAGAGAAGGGGGGGTCTGGGTGCACCGGGGTTGGGATGGGGATGGGGCTATAGGAGCAGAGGTGAGGAAGAGGAGGAAATGAGCCGGGGGGGGGGCTTTATGGCTGGAGAGGGAGCCTGTGTCCTCCCCTACCCAAAGCAACCAGGGCTGGGGCCTCTGTGCTGGGGAAAGCCCTGAGGAGCTGCTTTAGGCTGTGTGGCACCAGTTGGGTTTCCCCTTAGTGCATGCTCTGGGCTGGGAAGAGGCTCAGCTTGTCTAAAATGGCCACTTGCCTCATAGCCCTGGGGCTGCTGCATCTCGAGGCTCTCCAGTGCAGCCCTTGGTCTGGTCCCAAATCATCCTTATGGGCCCTAGGAACTGGGGCTGGGAGCTGGGGACAGTTCATCCCACTGCAGCATCCATAGGGCATGTCAGTGGTGGAGCAGTGTGTGCTGGCTGGGATGGGGCAGGCTGGTGCAGCCTTGGCCCCTGGATGGGTGGTCTGGTAGTTAGCAAGAAGGGCTCCTTGATGAGCCATCTGTGGGTACAGTATATGCATAATCGTATATAAACTGCATTTATAGGACTGATAGTACAGGTTTAGTGGTGGACTTGGCAGCCCTGGGGTAACCATAGAGCCATGGTTTAGGTTGAAGGGACCTTAAAGCTCATCCAGTTCCAATCCCTGCCACGGGCAGGGACCCCTTCCACTAGAGCAGCTTGCTCCAAGCCCCTGTGTCCAACCTGGCCTTGAGCACTGCCAGGGATGGGGCAGCCACAGTAATGCTGGACTTGATCTTAAAGGTGTTTTCCAACCTGGTTGGTTCTGATCCTATATAAGACCCCATGCTCACCTTCCAGAGCAGCTCTGTGCACCTGCATGGGGCAGAGCAGACCTGGTGGGTCACTAAAGTGCTGTGGGGATCCCAACCTCTCCCTTAAGCAGACATGAGATTGAAGCCCCCTGCTCTGGCATTGATTCATTAATGCCTTACAATGGGCTGCTCACCCCGGGCAGGCGATGGGCAGTGGGCTCCGGGCAGTTGATCCTTGCTCCATTTCCATACCTGGTGTTCAGGAGGTGGAACGGAGTCCTTGAAGGCTCCTCTGTCACCCTGTGTGCACCAGAGGGGCTGCTCCAAGGGCATCGGTGCTCCCGCA